GGCACGAGCATCTTCCCCAGACTGCCCGCCAGCGCCATTCTCGCGGATGTTTCCAGAGCAGGCCCAAGGAGGTGGCGCTCACGTTTATTTACTAAAGAAAATGACTTGATGGATACCCTTTCATCGAAGTATTTGTATTCGAGACATCTGCGAATCCCAAGCCATCCCCGATTTCAGGGAACAGGTATTAGCAGCAGAAACTCATTCGCAGTTAACATGAAACCAAGTGTGCTCCTGTCCTGAGTTCCAACCCCAAGCAGACAGACAGCAGTCTGACCTTGGAGGTGTTAGGGAAGAACCCAAGGGCGGAAGCACTTCCGCAGGGCGAGGTTAGCTGAGGTTGCTACCCACTTAGTGAACGAATAATCGACGGAGCCACTCTGAAAGTGAGCCCTTTCCTGGGCCATCAGAACTTGTTTCCATGGAAATGGGATTTTGGCACCACTGCTCGTCTGTCATCTCGGAAAGCACGGCCAGGTCTCAATTTCCCTAGCAAAACTCATTTCTTTTCCTCAGTAGGAATTCCCTGCATCCAATTTCGAGCCTCATTTTGCCCAGGGACATTCGAAGTTCTAAATGTTTAGATGCATTTAAAAGCAGTGGGGAGACGCTGCCCTGGCTGAGAGTTCAGCGGGCTTTGACAAATCCCCGAGACGGGTAAATACCCAGGCTGTCGGAGACGGCAAGACCCAGCAAACCAGGGGCAGGCCCCACCCGGGACGTCTGTCTGTGCAGGAGCGGGGCAAGGGGTCGGAGCGCTGCTGACGCTACAGAGGACACAGTACCCAGCGGAAGGGGGGGGGCGGCCACTCGCTTGGATAAATGTCCAGGACCACTGGTGGGACACGAGCCGTCACTTTGACTCGTCCTTGTCAGTATGCTTTGCAGCTGCAGCTGACGTCCCCCGAGCGCTTCATCTGCCGGGCTCTGTCCAAAACACTTGCCTCGGTGAGGCTGTTAGATCAGAGAAGCAAAGGTGCCAAGTGCCTGAAGTTATTGACCGTCATCTCGTCCTGGGGCCTGGGGACTGTCCTATTTCTGGCTCCGAGGGCATCCCTGGCTGTGAGCAGGGAAGAAGCGGACGTGGCCCCTGGAAGCTCAGCAGTGCCAGTGACCGCCTGCTGGCTGTCCTTGCCTGTTATCAGCTGCTGGGTCACCCAAGAGCCCGGGCACTCAACTCCAGGTGTGTTCCGAAGGCCTGCGAACAGCAGCCTCTGCAGCTGGGCCTTGCAGATACTGAGTGAGACCCCTGCTTCTTCCTTCCAGGGTAACCACTGGCCCCAGCGAGAGGCCATGAGTCGAAGCCTGAGACAGCTCGGGGATGGACGTCTTCTCTGCCCCTTCCTGCTCAGTATCCTCGGCTACGCCGCTTCCCGTCTCTGCCCTGCAGTTTCCTCCTCTGCACCGTGCTGCCCGGGGAACGCGGTGCCTGGCATCTGCGGAAGGCTTCATTCAGTGTCGGCGAATATTCTTCTTGTAAGTGAGCTGAATTATCAACACACGAACAGCCTGGGGAGGCCATGCTGCTGCTATCCTCCGGAAATCCAGCAGGATTCTGCCCGGACGTCTGCTCTGAGACCCCTCTCTGCCCAGGGGCCACCTGTCAGAACCCTGGGCAGGAAAAGCCTACAGACACGTGTGACTCGGATTCCCACTCTCGTCCCAGCGCCCCAGGAGGGGGTCCACGCTGGGAATGAGTAGATTCGTGACCCATCATGGCGCAGGACCGGGCAGTGCCTTGTTCTGTTGTGCATGGGGTCACCGTGAGTCAGGGGCCGACTCGATGGCAGTGAAGAACACAACAATCCAAACGCTGCTCAGAGAGGGTGCGGCGTGGACGGGGTCCCTGGAGCCGAGGGGGGATGCCCCGGGGCGCCACTGGCCGGGAACGGTGGATTCATCTCTCCACCCTACAGTCACTCCCCTCCCCTCCTCACTGCAGCCGCTGGTGGTGAGGGGACAGAAAGCAAGGACAGCGTTCTGAAGACCTAAGCCTGGGTCCTGGCTCCCCTCCTACTGGCCGGGCACGTGGACAAGCCACCTGGCCTCTCACAGTCTCGGTTTCTCCTTCTGAAAAATGGGGGTAATGGGTGCCCACTCTCCTGCTCCCGTGGGGGTCGTAGAGACCATTCACCTCTGTAAGGGTGTTCTGTAAAAATCGTAAAACCAAGATGAGGTGTCTTCGTTGCTGTTCCTTCCACAACAGTGTAACCACTACAGTGGAACACATGTAACAACGGGACGGCTGTTGGCGCACAGCGCAAAAGGGCCAACCAGGGGGCTTGGAAGATGTCTTTGAGATTTGCCCCGAGTCAGAATCGACTCGATGGCAGCTGGGTTTTAAAAATACGTATTTGCAGGTAATCTGTGCGTACAGCTGCCAGAAACGGGGATTTTTTGCTCCCCAATTGGCGGTGCTTCCTTGAATGCCACGGCGAATGGCGGGCGTCCTGTTAGAGGACAGCGCTGTCACGTACTGCTCGCGACCAAGGCCAGCCATCAGAACTGCTCTGAAGAGGAGCGAGAGCCATGGAGTCATCTACTCATGTCCACACTGACAGGTAACAGGAGCCTGGCGATCAGCCCGCATCGCAAGACCCAGCGTGGTGGGACGGCACTCATCAGTGGATGGAGGGTTGGACTCACACGCCGGCACAGCAGGGGTGTGAAGAAAGACTTCATCAGTCGAAACGCCGAAGCCCAAGGTTAACATCAGTGGGGAAACGGAAGACAGAGTCTGCTGTTGCGCGGCGAATGTGAGATGGCCCACATCACAGGGCTAAACCCGGAGCAGCGAGTGATGGGGTAGAAAACGGGGCTGCGCTGAGCACTATGCAAAAGCTGTTGGCAGACGGTGTCCTGGACCGTTCCAGAGCACAGCATGCTCAGACGGACCCT